CGGCAAACTCTTGATAACATCCTTAGTTTTTCTGTCCATACTATGCATGCTGATGCTCGTCCTTTGTGAATGAGTTTTTAATTACTTTCCTTGACTGTATACTAGTCTTGAGAGTTGAATTGGCCTTCATCTTGCTCCCACAATTCCTTTTTCATTACGAATAGGCAATTATACGTACTTCACTATAGTGATTTAATGGTCTTAATTCGTAACTTTGAAACACCGTGAGGTATATGGCTCAGCCTGTCGAGCCACGTCCACTTGAGGCAGACCAATGTCAGACTTTTAGCTAATTTGGTGCAATGATAAAAATGAATGTAAGTAAATCTTCGTGTTTTGCACAACATAATGCAGATTGCCATTTCTACGTTGGTAAGTGGATTATTTTTCGAAATTGAGCTTTTGTTGACGTCTGCAATTAATTCTGTCAGTCTAAATGCATTTTAATGTGTCTTTTATTCGACAAGTAGCTACTTAGGATATCTTCTAATCAGCTCTGATTCGTTTACTAAGCATATATTTGCCATTTAGCCATAGGGAAAATGTGTCCTCTACACCATGCGACCGACAGGATCGCGGCCAAACTTATGCAAGCGTGTGCTGAGGAGTATCTGCATATTTTAAAGCTCGAACTATTTGTGTTGATTTTAGGTACCAAAGATTGAGGAAAATTTTTTCTTTAATTTATCGAAGTTAATTTGGGCAAGGTATCTGAAAATGGCTGTTTTTATATGTCCACATATGCAAGCTATAAATTTGTGAATTTTTTCAACGAAATGGGGAACTAATTTTGTAGGGGCATTATGGCAAGACGTGTAATGTCATGAAACTAGGGGTTTATCGCGCATAATTGAGAGGTGGCTGGCAGAGTAAAATAAGTGATATACTGAAGATCATTCAGTCTAGATTTTATTTTGCCCTGTCTTCATGATGGATGATGCATATACTTGTTACTGAAGGTCATCACTCCTGTAAAAGCATTTCTCGAAGCTTGCATTGGCTTTCAGCAAATTTGAGGCATTGGAATTCTAATAAGCCAAATACTGCTAATTTAATCAGTATCAAAGTTGTTCAACAAACAGGCAGACACGATTAACAGCATCATTAGTGTTTTCATATTTATTACTTAATGACAGAAGGCGTGTCGTGATCAGGCGTTCTCTCTTTTATTTATAACTTGACATTGTGGAATGTTTCCATTCAGTGAGGTTTCGCAATTAATTTAGGACGTGGTTGCATCCCAATTTCCCAACATGACACGATTTAGCGAATGCGTCATTATGTCACCAATCGCAATCCGGACATTTTAAATCGCCAAGGTCTATAAAACGCACTATAGGAAATATTAAGTTTTTCGCCGTATTAATTTCAAAGGGGAATTAGAAAATAAACGGCTTGACACCTGCCCTGCCTCGCCATTTATCTGAATTAGATGTTGTTTTTGAATGTTGATGTTACTGGTGTAACGTCCCCTGAATCTGGCATTAGATGCTTTACTGGACTCTTTAAAATTCTGTGTATTTATGCATCGATGACACGCTCGATACAGTGCATTGTAAGCGAAGTTGTCTGATTTGCTCAACACTTGCAGGGCAAAAGCAGAAATATTGGCTGGCCATACTGACTTTTCCATACTGTGACTGTAGATCGGAATAAAAGCCCCTCATCCACAATTATTTTTCTCTCGTCATGCTAAAACTCTCGTTATGACTCACGATCTGCTCAGGGTTGACAGTGAGAAAATCCACTTTTGAATGAATTGGTTCTGTTCATTGCCCCACACGGATGTAAAAATTTGACCAAAACCGTTTAATTGTAGTGGTGACTTAACAAAAAGACGCCGATCCCAAATAATGAAGTTAGTAAGAAAATGTGTGCAGCTTTCTTTAGCATTCCTACTCGTAGAAGAATTGTGAAGCCTGAGAAAGACTGTATTTTTCTCAAGGTACTTTGTTTCAATTTAACGTCCTTTATTTGCACACTAAAGTCTATTGACTCAAGAGATTTCTCTCAGTGCCATCGGGTATGCTGAAATCTTAGTTTTTGCAAGAACTTGGATGTTATAGCCAATTCATTTGCTAGTATTCCACCTCCACAATGCTTGTTAGGGGTCATTCGTTCGGTCGTTTGAGTTTACTCACTCATGCCTTGGATATATATCACTGCTTGTCTGTGTCTTCGTGTGTGTGTCAACGCATAGTTCGCCTGGGCACCCAGAGACGAGCACGCATGAACAGACAAACATATATCTTAAATCAGCTGTGAGGATTAAAAACGCATTTTTGTGTGTGATTATTGGTGCTCAATATATCCATTTAATGAATGAGCCGGGTCTGGCTCCCTGGCATAATAGGGATGGTAGCTGGGAGGCTAGGGGTGATGCTGAAAGTGTGGAAAGGAGTCTTTATATTGTATCCACAACAAGACATCGCATTTTCGGGAATACTCCACCAGACTCGGGGACAAGGACAGGCGTAAATTTGCCCCGACAGTAGGAGAATCCTTGGGCACTAGCCCAGAGTCTGGTCGGAACCAAAAGCTTGCCCACTCTCTGGATGAAAACTAAAGTGACGCCGCGGTTGTGCAGTACATGCCTTCCGCTCCTCGCGAGGAAGCGAACTACAGCTTACAACTTAGAAACCAGAATTTAGTCAGCCCAGACCGCTTAAAATTGGGTTTTGCCAAAAATGCTGTCTAGCGAAGTGGTAATTTCGTGAAGACACCGACGAGTCAGTGTTGAGTTCTCCTGAGGCTGTTGATGAGATAAGTTCAGGCGTAGTTGAAACCACAGCCGAGCTTGGATGAGATAAGCCCTTTGGAGGCAAGGTTAAGTGAAGCTGAATCGCACGTTAAGGCTTGTTCATCTTCAAGAGCCTGGGCTCGTCAGTACCTAAAGCAGCCTTGGCGACTTGTGCTGACTAAGTTTACCATCCAACTTTCGGCCCTTAGAGTTGTGTTCCCCTTAGGCTGCACCTGATGAAGAAGGTCTGGCAGCTGACCCAATATTTCCTCTTCTCGTTTAACTTAGAATTGCTAGCCAAAGTGGTGAGGATAGCTGTCGTCCTGCATCATCTCACGCGGCCTGGGGTGAATATGGCTCCTTTTCAAGATCTCGCGGTAGTTTCAAGCCCACGTTAAAACGGACCACCATTTTCCACTCCAATTTCCATTCGTGATGATTTCGAGTTGGGTTGATGCGGGGACGTAGAGAGTGCCCCAACCTCACCTATCGCTGGGCCAGCAGAGAGGCCAGGTCTATGCGGTGTAGACGAGATGTACCTGAGTCCTGAAATAAGGGCATAGCTAAGCGCCGAAAGAAAGTCTCTGCGACAACCCCGGCACTTGAGCGGGACGAGCAAAAAGTGCGATCGAAGCCGTCCAGCAGGATCAATAAGTCCAACCAGGAGAAAGGCCATTCGAAAATCCGCTTAAGCCGATAGTCCCCTCGGCAAATAGGCTTTGCTGGAGGGATGGCTCCGAGCCAGCCAATCAGCCATCTGCCCTCGCGAGGCTGGCCTATGACTCACTCG